GAGAGAAAAACGGCCCGAGAAGGAAGAGATCCGTGACAAACGATGGCCGATCACAAAACAAATAACAGATAGGCGTAGAGGGGGCCGACGGAGAGGAGAGAGAAACTGCGCCCAGCACGGAACCGGCGCGTGGGGGCGCGTGCGGCCTCCGTTGGCCACGCGACTGGTGGCGTTGGGTTCGCCGGACAATTTTTGACTTGCCCTCCAACTACTTTCAGGAAATGGTTTCCTTGTTTGCTTCCTGAGTTTACAAGCTTCACATTCAGCTAGCTTCTCTGTCAAGGAAGGAACTCCACGCACTAGTTGATTTTTCAGCATATAGTTCATTCCCAAATGATGGAAATGACCCAGCCTTTTGTGCCAAAGATCAACTGAGCTTGCTGTAACTGGGAATGCAACCTGCTCCTCCTTCATTGGATCAAATGAGAAACTCTTGCTCCTCATTTTGACTTTAAACATGTCAAGACTTGTAGGATCTTTAATTATGCAGCTTTTATCTTCAAAGATAACTTTGAACCCTTTCTCTAGCAATTGTCCAACACTAAGCAGGTTTTGGTTAATTTCAGGTACATATAAAACATCAGAGAGGGTTTTCGTACCTATGTGGCTTGTTATAACTATTGATCCCTTGCCTTTTACTGGAATTTGTTCACCATTCCCGATTCTGACCCATTTGACTTCGGTGTTGTCCAAACACTTGAACAATTCTCTGTCATAAGTCATGTGGTTGGTGCAACCACTATCTATCAACCAAGATTCACTTGAACTATTGGTGGAGAAACAGGTAGCAACAAATAGCTGGTCTTCATTCTCTTGCGCATTTTGTGCATCAGCTACAACTTGCTGGATGTTTGCTCTGCAAATTACAGCTTCATGTCCGATCTGATTGCACTTACTGCACTTCGCGTCAGGTCTCTTCCAACATCTGAATGGAGGATGACCCATTTTTCCGCAATGCTGACAAGGTGGGTAACTTTTCTTTTTACCCTTGCCTTTGTTTTGGTTGTTTGTTGTATTCTCGTTGCTTGTTGACGGGTTCTTCTTAAAAAAATTCTTTTTATTATATCCAGCAACATGATGCTTGGCTGAAAGTGCACCTTCAACGGCATGATCTTCTCTCATTAACCTTCGTTGCTCTTGTGCCTGCAAGGCATGTAGCACTTCTGCCAAAGTTATCTTTGACAGATTCTTTGAGTTCTCCAATGAGGTTATGGATGCTTCATACCTCTCGGGTACCGTTACCAGAATTTTTTCAACAATTCTGGAATCAGCAAAGTCACTACCCAGCAACCTTATCTTGTTGGCAATACTCAACAACTTGTCTGAGTATTCCTTAATTGTCTCAGACTCTTTCATCCGTTGCAACTCAAATTCTCTCATTAAATTAAGCACCTGCATGCTCCGTATTCTTTCATCTCCCACGTATTCTGCCTTTAGATAATCCCAAATTGCTTTTGCTGATTTGAGAGTCATGATCCTAGTGAAGATTGTTGTAGAGACACCAGCAAAAAGGCATGATTTTGCCTTTGCTTTTCGTGTTTTTTTTTCCTTATGATTCTTGATCTGGGCCATGGTAGGATTGTCCGGCAGCGGAGGGACATCATAATCCTCTTCCACAGCCTCCCAAAGATCAAATGCCTCCAAGTAAGATTCCATCCTCACTGCCCAGAGGTCATAATTTTCCCCATCAAAGACTGGGAGAGTAGCTTGGGAAAAGCTTGTTTCAGGTTCCATGACAATGTAGAAACACACAGGTCCCTCAAGAAGAGGGCTCTGATACCAATTGTTGGTTTTAGGGAGGAAAGGCAAATGCTAACAGAGCAATACAGAGAACGAATAGAGAGAGTGAAAAAGTAAATTGAATGTGCTGGATGTGAAAACTATATTTATTTATCTCAATGCAATTTAATTTAAATACATTGAAAATAACTGACTTAGAGATCACATCCCGTGACTCTAGCAACCACTACTAATAACTTAACTGAAAAATAGGAAATAGATAGTCCACTAACAACCACTGACGACTAGTGATAAATTCTAATATCTCATGAACCACCTGAGTAGGCAGATAGACATTGATTCAACAAATCAGCATCCCACAAACCATTTGATCCCACCATATCCGCCACCTTACAGTTAGTAACGATCCTCATAACCCGACAATTGATTAACAACAATAATCAGAAGAACTCCAGAAGGAAGCCATCTGTCAAGCCAGAACCAATGCCCACAACCCATCTAATATTGTTGACCACATCGCTCCTTTCTAGACTTGAGAATCTGTAGGCCTGACTTTTAATTCTGGAACCACCTTGCTCCCACACTTGTATTTTGATCTAAGTAGTTGCACCCATAATTCATTGGGTTTTGAAATTAATTCCCACCCAACTTTCTGTTGGGAACAGCAAATCCAGTTTCACAAAACCCAACCCTCCATTCTGTTTAGGCTTTCACAAAACCTCCCAAGAAATAGTATGCCAGCCCCTTCCACTATCCTTCTTGATAAACCTCCTTTGCGTATCCTCAAGTTTGTCACACAAGCCCTTTGGGATAAGAATAGATTGCATTGAGTATGCAGACATTGTTTGAATAACACTCTGAGCCAAGGTGACCCTACCTGCAAACACAAGTTGATCTGACAACGGACAACCACATTACTATTACCTTTATTATGAACCTTTTTTATATATAAATTAAGTAATTTTCCAAGACAATTGTATTCAAGTGAACCTATTTTGTACAAACTACTTTTGCTCTGCCGGATGGCATGTTGTGGGCAAAGGAGCAAGGTTTTGTCCGGGGTCGAATTTGAATCAGACTTCCAAGTAGTGGTTCTCATACGTAAATGTCTAGTGAATAATAAGTTTTTTCAAAGCTGTAAAGTTAACTTTACACATAGATAAGCCAATTCAGTACCGTATAAACTAGCTAAGGCATCTGATTTATTTGATGGACTTCACGAGTATGATTATTTTTCCCATGTATATTCCAAGATGTTATTAATGAAATGCATTACTTTTGTTTCTGTTAAAAGAAAAAGTAACTTTAGTTTTTTTTACTCTTTATGCGTGTGATGTTTATAAAGATTAGAAATGTTAAAATGGGCTAGATTAGCATATCAACACATGTTAAATGAGTTAAGTTGGATTGATATAGGTTCTCAACAACTCACTATTTTTTTTTGTTTGATCTGATTTAACGGGCTATGTCATATTAGTCGATTTATGTTTTATTTATTTATTATTTAAAAAAAAAAAGTAAATATTAAGTTAAATGAGTTTGATAGGTTTCAAAGTTTCAAATAATTAGTCCATTTGACCCATTTATCGAGGCAAATCGACCCGATTTAATTCCGAACAGTTTTAAAACTTGAGCTGTCCAATCTCTTAGGTGAATCCATCTTTTATAGCTCTAGTTATATTATCTATTTTGATATTATGATAAGTTATTTATATTTTATTTTTTTCTTTCTTGAATTTTATATCATGTCTCGACACATTTATGATTTTTTCTTTATTACTAGATTAGATAATTATTGATAAGAAGTATTATTCTTTGTATGAATAAATAATATGTGAGAAACATTTTATTTATACATAGTAGGTTATTTAGTTTTGTGATAGTATGTGAATTTAATTAGAATCGTATATGTGTATTTAATAATTTTCTTATCTCAATTGGGCAGAAAGCTAATGATGAAAATCAAGCATGTTTATTAAAAAATAAAAATCAAAATATGATTTTCATTTAACATCAATAATTTGGTTTAATAGAAATATGTATTTGTTTCACATATTAAAAACTTATTCACAAAATTATTGAGTTAAAAATGTCATATTCTTATATTTGTTTAGAGTTTTGAAAAATATTTTTAAGTATAATTTATTATTAAAAACGTAGTCACAACATGATTCATTTTATTTTGACTTCTGTGATGAAAGATGGAAAGTTGCATTCTCATAAAAATGTGAGAAATTATATTTTAATTTGCTTTTTCAACTCATTTTTTTATTTTAATTAATTTAAATTTTTAAAATATTCTTCGAAATGTTAAAATCTCACTGGACACATTTTTAAATATTCATAGGAATAACATTCCAATAGTAATATTTTCAAGAATGTGATTCTTCAAAGAAAAGTAACATACTTGGAAACAAATATTCCTAAAATCGAATCCTGTTAAATGAAAAAAAATATGTATGTACATTGTGTTTATCAAAAGTTGTTAGGGCAAATGATTTAACATTCTTATTTTTTAATTAAGAATTAAAATTTGATCTCAAATTTTAACATAAAATTATACTTAGAAATATTACATTATCTCTAAAATAAATTGACCTAGTGAATAAGAGTTATACTCTTTGTTATATATATGATATTGTTTACTTAAATAAGCTTATCCCCCAAAAAAGTAAATATATCATTATTAGTGGATTATTGTCACAAAGAGTAAATGCGCTTAACCAAGGTATTGAATATAGGTGGTTAATGTTTTTAACACAAGGTTGAATCATTTGGATAATGTTTGAGTTTGATCCTTGACGAAAATAATATTTGGTCAAACTTTATTTATCTCTCAATCGAGTTACGTCAGTCTAAGGTAGAACCTCACAACATTGATGCGAAATAAAAAAAAAAAGAGTGAATGAGCTTCTAGGCTTTAAACTTTAGTCTTTTTTCTCTTTTCTTTACTCTATTCTCTCTTTATATTGCAATGATTAACTCTGATAAAACTTGGACTAAGTGTGTGACATATGGGCCTTCCTTATTTGTCCCTTTGGGCTATATCTTTTTTTTTCTTTACTAGTAGCATAAGTTTTTACTTTAGACTAATCTAACTTAAATGAGAGATAAGTAAAACCTGATCAATACTTATTTTTGCTAAGGATCAAACTTATATACGATTCAAATGATTTAAATTAAAAACATTATATGATGATGATGATGATGACTAGTAGGATGTTGGAAAATGATTTTGTTGAATTTTTTATTTATTTATATTATCTTATACATTTACAAATTTTTCTTCATTACTAAATTAGATAATTATTGGTAAGAAGAATTATTTTTTGTATGAACAAATAATCCGTGAGAAACATTTTATTTATACAGAGTGTTTTATTTAGTTTTGTGATAGTGTGTGAATTTACATGTGAATTTAATTAGAACAAACTGTGTGTATTTAATAATTTTCTTATCTCAATTAGGCAAAAAACTACTGATGAAAACCAAACATATTTATTAAAAAACAAAAACCAAACAAGATTTTATTTAACATCAATAATTTGGTTTAATAAAAAAAAAGTATTTGTTTCACATATTAAAAACTTATTATCGAGATTATTGAGTTGAAAATGTCATATTCTCATATTTATTTAGAATTTTGAAAAAATATTTTTAAATATAATTTATTTCCAAAAAAGTAGTCACAACATGATTCTTTTTATTTTGACTTCTATGATGGAGGATGGAAAAGTTGCATTCACATAAAAATGTGAGAAGTTATATTTTAATAAACTTTTTCAACTCATTTTTATTTATTTTAATTAATTTAAACTTTTAAAATTTTCTTAGGAATGTTAAAATCTCACTAGACACATTTTTAAATATTCATAGGAATAACATTCCAATAGTAATATTTTCAGGAATGTGATTCATGGAAGAGAAGTAACGTACTTGGAAACAAACACTCCCAAAATTGAATCTCGATAAATGAAGAAAAAAAATGTATGAACATTGTGTGTGTATCAAAAGTTGTTATTGTAAATGATTTAACACTCTTATTTTTAATTAAGAGTTAAAGTTTGATCTTGAATTTTAACATAAAATTATAATTAGAGATATTACATTATCTCTAAAATAATTTGACCTAGTGTATAAGAGTTATACTCTTTGATATATATATATATATATATATATATATATATATATTTGTTTACTTAAATAAGCTTATCCTTAAAAAAAAGTAAATATATTATTAGTGGATTTATGTCACAAAGAGTGAATACGCTTAATCAAGATATTAGACATAAGTGGTTAATACTTTTAACATAAGGTCGAATCGTTTGAATAATGTTCAAGTTTGACTCTTGGCAAAAATAATATTTGGTCATATTTTACTTATCTTTCGACCGAGTTGCATTAGTCTAAGGTGAAATCTTACAACACTGATGCGAAATAAAAAAAAGGTGAATGAGCTTCGAGGGTTTAAACTTTAGTCTTTTTCTATTTTTTTTACTCTATTCTCTCTTTATATTACGATGACTAAATCTGATAAAACTTGGACTAAGTATGTGATATATGAGTCTTCCTTATTTATCCCTTTTGACTATATCTGTTTTTTTTAAACTAGTATCATAAGTCTTACTTTAGACTAATCTAGGTTAACTGAGGGATAAGTAAAATCTTATCAATATTTATTTTTTCTAAGAATCAAATTTACATACTATTCAAACGATTCAACTTTAAATTCAAAACATTAGTCAGTTGTATTTAATTTCTTGTTTGTTTGTTTTTTATTATATTATCTTATACATTTAGAACAATAATAATAATAATCATTACTTTAAAACTTAAATCAATGATAACTAGTAGAATGTTGGAAAATGATTTTGTTGAAAAATTGTCTTATAATATTATATTAAAAATGTTAAATTCTCTGAATTCGAATTCGGAAACATCTCCCTAACAGTTAAATATATTTAAAAGTTAAATATGCAGATTGAGGAATTTTTGAAGTATTGGAAAAACTTTTAGAAGTTATAAAGATATAGGTTACTCAGTTATATTTGATGAATGGATGGCATGATAAAATATTAGAAGTTATTAAGTAGAAGAGATTGAAACCGATTAAAGTTGATTAGAAAAGATGAAGAATGGAAAAAGATGTTGTCAGTGGGCATAAGTAAAGCCACCATCGACCCTAAGATCAAGGCCAGTGACAAAGGCGGAATCATCAGAAACGAGAAACAAGACGGCGTCTGCCACGTGTTTGGGAGTGAGCAGAACTCCTTGCAGTCTGGCGAATTTCCGGTAAGCCTCTTGCATCTCCTCCTCGCTCATCCCTCGCCGTTTGCAAGTCAACGACGTCGCCAACCCATTCGGTGAGACGCAGTTCACCCTTATCCCGTGCTCCGCAAGCTGCAAACTCGCCGAACGCATCAGCCCCAACACCGCGTGCTTCGACATGATGTAGTCAGTCGCCGATGGTCCACCGTGGCTGCCACCCACGCTCCCCGTGCACACAATGCTCCCCCTCACGCGCCTCTCCACCATGGCACGCGCCGCGTGTTTCACGCATGCCGCCATTCCGCGCACGTTGACTGCCAAAACCTTGTCCAGTTGGGACATGTCGAGGTCCTGCACGGTCTGCTCGGAGGGGCTAAGGATGCCAGCATTGCTGAACATGATGTCCACTTGTCCGTACGCGTTCACCGTCCATTCCACCACCTTTTTTACTTGATCTTCGTCCGCCACGTCGCACTGCACGAAGCTGCACCGCTGTTTTCCAATGGACGCAGCCACTTCATTTCCCAGCTCCTCTTGGATGTCCGCTATCACCACCATACGCGCGCCTTGCTCCGCAAAGACACGCGCCGTCGCTTCGCCGATGCCGCTTGCTCCTCCGGTCACTATGGCTACTTTGCTTCTTAACTTAAGACCTGTGTTAGTGCTGCTGCTTCTAGATTCCGCCATTAGTTTTTCTTGGATATGTAAATTCTTGAGTCTTAAGCTACGTACCTAGCGACCTTATTTACTATATATAGAAGATTTGCGAATCGTGCTAGTAACACTCCCAAACTTTTTTTTCTTTTTTTCTTTCAATTACAACGTGTGTTTTCCAAAGTTACCATGGACTCCTCTCACCTCGTTTCCTCACCAACCCTGCCTTTGTATTCTAGTGTTTCCTTGTTCCTATCAATCTACCTGCCTTTGTATTTTAGTGTTTTCTTTTCGATCGGATCAAAATGCTCGAATCAGACATTAAAATATAACAATCATACGTGTTTTATATTTCTTCAATTTGTATTGCAATAATATATAAGTAGTGGGATTGTGAACGCGGAAGAATAAAAATTGGTCCATGAAAGATGAGTGCAGAAAAAACAAAATGGTGCAAAAGTTCGAAACCATCCAGCCTCCTTCAATGATTTAAAATTTAAAGAGCTCAACCTACTTCAAATTAGGCTGAATAGATTCACAAAATGTTTAGTTTAGTTTAGTTCTAGCAGAGAGTATATTTGTTCCACTAAATAGAACCGTGTAAAAATAAATTTAGGAATAGAGTTGCTAGCTTCTTTATTTCCACTTTACGTAAATTGATGATTTGGCCTTTCGGGTTTCTCCATGATCTCTTCTCATCTATCATGTTATATAATTGTTGGAAAAAAAAACCTTTCTTTTTAATGTACAATGATGGAATAATGACAGTATTGTAAATAAATTTATAAAAATTATACAAAATTTATTTAATATGACTCGATTCTTGATGTTTATTTTTAGAATTAATTATCTATACATTATTAGTGTAAAACTTTTTACACTAACAACCAATCATATTTTTTAAATTATTATATTTTATTAAATAAGTAAGTGACATAATACTATTAAAAAATATGATTGATTGTCAATATAAATTTTTTTACATTTACACTGATAGTGTATAGGTGATTAACTCTTGTTTTTATTATATTTTTATTATGAAAAACCAATTTTTCTAATGTATATGTCCTCATGACATACTTTAATAACTATTAAAATTCACTATCCAATGTCTCTTTTAATATAATAATTATATGAGAGTAAATAATAATAAATAACATTGACTATGGTTTTTAAAATTAATTTGATGTCATTTTTAACTATGTCCTTCCATTTATTTATTTTTATTCTCAATTAAAATAATAATAAAACATTTAAAAAAAAAAAAAAAAAAACCTTCTGACTCCACCACCCTCCTGCACCTCCTCTCCCGCCCACCATGCCTCTTCAACTTCAAAAAAAATAAAATTATACAACAGATTCTAGTAAAATGCAAATTTGTCCACATTTCTTATATTTGAATTTTATGCGTAGTAAAAATAAAATTACAGCAAATTCTAGTTAAATGCAAATTTGTCCACATTTCTTATATTCAAATTTTATGCGTTTTAAAAATAAAACTATATAAGTATTAAAAATAATATAAAATTAACGAAAACTATATACGTATCAAAAGATTGCTTTTAAAAAAAAAAATAGGTTTCGTTATTGTTTTGATTGGGAGTGAGAAAAACAAATGGAATGACAAGATTAAAAATGACATTAAATTAATTTTAAAAATTAGAGTTAATGTTATTTATTATTATTTACTCTCTTATATAAAAAATATATTAAAAGAGATATTGGATAGTGAATTTTAATAATTGTTAAAATGTGTCAAAGACACATTAAAAAAAACCATATTAATAATAATATGAAATAGTTTATACAAGTACTTTTTTATTTAAAAATGAGCATATGAAGTAATAATTAGTACAACTAATACAGTGTTCTATTCCAGAGTTTTAAAAACTGGATCGAACTGATCGGTGAAACTGGGAACGAGTGGTTTAGTTTGTTTGAATATTGAGTTAGATCGATTATACATTTGACCCGTTTCAAAATGAAGTGAACTAGTCAATTTTATGGTTCAATCAATGAACTAGTGAGTCGAACCAGTAGATCAATTCGGTTCAACAAAATAAAAATTAAATAATTTTTTTATGTATTTCTTTATACAAAATAAAAATAATGATAATTTTAAATAAGACAAAAATTGAAATTTAAGATAGGATATGAATTTTATTGAAATTTATAAGTATAAAATATATTTAACATGAATATCTTTTTAAAAAATTAAATATAATCAGATCATGCAATTCAATTAGTGACCCACCAATTTAACATTTAACCTACTGAACCAATACCCTAATCAATTTAATGACCGATCCGGTTTTTAAAATTATGTTTTATTCTAATATGCATTTCTCTCAAACAAAACTATAGTGTTGTTCCTAACGTCTTGATACGCTAAAATTCATGTAAGAGACTACATTTAATTTATAAAAAAGTTATGAGGTTGGCCAAAAATAGATAAAGATAATCAAGATCGATATTGACATTTATTGGGCTTCGATGATATAATAAATAAGGAATTTATATATATATAAATATTTTTAAATTTAAATATGTATTATATTTAAAAAGAAATAAACATGTAATTTCAATAAAAAAAAATAATAATTTTTTATACAATGTGAAAAATATTTTAATAATTTTTTAAAAATATGTAAAACAAAATACGTTCTTTAATAAAGTCTTATAATAACTTTTATCATCAATAAAATACGTTTTTTTTTTTTTAATTATCGCAATGTCTATCACTTATAAAACAAAATACACAATTTTTCATGAGGGTCTCTTTTGCTTCGATACATAAAAGTGTAACCCTTTTTTAAATTTTAATAAAGAAAAGTTGTATTTATTATCACAAATTTAGAAAAATTACGAAATTTTCTTTTTTTGGTACATATAGTGAAAAGGGAACAACAAAAACAAAAAGAAAGAAAAAAGAAAGATAGATACACCTAACCCCTTAAAGAGGGGAAACCCATAGAGTCAATGAGTAATAAACTATTCAATATTGTTAGAACTTTTAAAAGAACAACAAGATCCTTATTCCTTGAAATCCCAAGCTTAGTCAATACATCTGCACACCTATTACCCTCCTGAAGAGAATGAATGAGAGAACACTCCCGATTTTGGGCCATAAGATTATGGATAATCAACAACTCATTGGCATACACATGAGTAACAATAGGCTCACTCCAAATCAAATTTAGAAAAAGCCTAAATATTTAAACCATTGAAAATTTAAAATTGGTTGTTAATTAATTACAAATTGAACAAGAGAAGAAAAATTAAAAAACCTAACACTAATTTCTTTTTTGTTTAAAAAATCATAACTATAATTTTATTTTTGGGCCATTGTTATTCATGGGCTCAAGACAATTTCTCCTTTTTTTTAACTCTCAAGGTTCATCTTAAAAAAGATTTGGACAAAAATCCAAATTTTTACTATTCAATAAGTTAAAGATAATTTTTTGTCTCAAATACAAAAACATTCACTATCACCACTACCTCGACTTCTTGTCATTATCGTCTAATACTTACATTGTCGTTGTCATCATCCATCACTATCATGTTTCTATTATTGTTATTGCCTCTATTACTATTATTAATGTTATTATCATCATCATTATTTTTGTAAATATTTCCCTTATTAAGATAATAATATAATTTATTATAATAATTAATATTAAAATATATTTTAATAAAAAAATTTCTCTTTCCACTTTTATGCTTATCCCAAACCTTCAAAGATTGTAATGCACAACTAATAGTCTCTAAATAGTATTGCATTTGTCACTAATGAAGTGAAAGCTCTTGTTATTCCATTAACTTGGTTAGAACTATAATGCGAGTTGGATGTGTGACTGTATGAGCACTCATTGTCCGAAGGTTGACTTCACCCGGGCTTGTTTTTAACAAATTGGGCCCTCTCCACATGTAGTTAACATCAACCTTCCTACACATAGCCCACTACCACCAGCACTAAGTAATGGATTCTTGCTGAACCCAATGTCCGTCCTAGGGATGGCAATGGGGTCCATGGGAGCGGGTAATAGTAAATCTGTCCCCATCCTGTTAGATGAAAATTGGCTCTATACCCACTCTATATTCGTGCGAGTATCCATTAAGTAAGTATCTATGAATTTCTTGAATACCCACGAATATCTATGGATATCCATGGATATTTATAAATTTTTTAAGAAATTAAAAAAATTATATTACAAATAATTTTAAGTTTATATTTAATGTCATTAAAATATTAAAAATAAAAATTCAATATTAATTTTGAACTTGTATTTAACGTTAATTTTTTTGAAATAATAATAAAAATGCAAGATAATCAATAACTAAAAATACATCAATCTTACAAGTAAGTTAAAGTCTCATAACAAAACTACAATAATTCAATCTCATAATTCCAAACGAAAGTAAACAACTTAAAATACATAAATCTTATTGGTCCAATAAAAATTAGAAAATTAATCAAATTACATCCAACAAAATTCTATAACATGCTTAACACATGTTGGTAACTTATTCATCAACCTCACTTTTGTAAGAAAATAAGATGTGAGAGTGTAGTTTTAGGATTATGTGATACAAGAATAATTAGGATATTTAAAAAATATTATTAAATAGGTACCCACGAGTATGAATATCATCATACCTGCCCCTGCCCCATTTATAAACGGGTACAAAATTATCCGTCCCCATTATTCGCGGATACCCAATTAGCCTATCCATTTATTATTCGTAGCAGATTTTATCTGCAGATACCCGTGAGTACGGGTATTTTTAGATACCCGTGAGTACGGGTATTTTTACCATCCCTAGCGTGTCCCTTATATCTTTCTTTTTCCAATGTTAATGGCTTTTATGAATATAAAGGATGACAATACATTAGATAAAGATACGGTATGTAATATTTATTCTCATTGGCGGGTATGAAAAAAAAAATACTCGTACTGAGTCTCTTAATTGCTCGATTGGTAACTTTAATCTTTTATCCTTGCATTCACTAGATAGTTAAATACCCATACCTACTACTAACACTCTACTTAAGTGTTGAATCAACAAATCATAAAAATATTAATTAGAAAACTGCTACAACTGAAATGTGAAATCATTCTTAAATCATCCAAATATTAACATACGACATCAAAAACATAGTTCCAATGAAAAAACTAACGATGAGGATTGTGTTGCTATGATACTAAAATGTTTTCTTTTCGATAAACTGTAACATTGAAAGAGGACGATGACAATAGTTTTTTGACGTTGGAATAAAGAATGGAAAGCTGACAACGGCTAGAGAAAAAATAATGGATAAATAGCACAACGACTTTAAAAACAAAGTTAATTCGTGCAAGGAATAAAAGACTTGGTATTCAAGACTATATTT